AAGAATAAAAAAAGGGGATAAGGAAAATTTTAGTGTTGGTGTATATATGTATCGGTTGTGTAGTGTGAGTGGGTCTGATGGTGACTATTTTTTTCAAATAATTTAAGGTAAATGTACGTTTAATTTATTTAAGTTAAAGAAATTATTTTATTCAAGGTAAAGTGAACCGAACCGATCTAGAATTAATTTTCCGAACTTTAGATATTTTAGTCGAGGACTTTAGGCAAGTTTGGTTTTATATATTATTATTTTTTGAATTAAAAGTGAATTTCTCGAATAACTTACGCAATGCGTTACGCTATTTACGCTACACGATATAAGGACCAAAACGCGACGCGATGCGCGATACGCGTTCTAAAACACTGATAGAGATGCATCTCGTCCAGTTGCTTTGAACTATATTTATTGGGAGAGTGACAGAGATGAAGATGAGGACATGAAGGCTACTTTTGGTGAAGTGAAATTTATCAATGTGAGTGAGCAATAAAATAGTTGAAGCAAACAACTTATAATTTAATTTGATGGCGGACTTGATTCACCAAAATAACGAAACAAACACCACAATAAAATGGATGATGAAGCTACAATAGATTTTGATAAAAGGCCGTTTTAGTACTATCAAGCCCATTACCGTTTTTCAATCAAACTCACTAAAGATGATAAGAAACAAATGAGCAATAGCAAGAACATTCAAAAAGGTGACACAACCTTTAACATTAAGATGGGAATTATACAATTTGTTAGGAACTAAATATAACTAGAGAGATACCAAAAATGGTTTGACTCGAGAATTAAAATAATAATAAAAAAAGATGTCATGACAACACTCGAGAAAACAACGATTAGAATGCAAAAGAAGAGCTATGTGCAAAGAAGTTATTCAACTTGTTTTATTTTGGTTTGTCCTAAGTTGCTTGTGTAACCCTAAGTGAAGATTAGTCCTTATAATGTCATATAATTTACACTGTTTCAATATTTGTTAAGTGAAGCGAGGTGCTCGTCAGCTCGGGTTGACATTGATATATTAACGAGTCATACTCGGCTCTAAAAGAAAATTTTTATATAATTTTCAATAGTTCAACTCGTTAAAATTTAAATCTGGTTCGTTAAGGTTTGAGTTAGATCAGCTCGTTAATATTGAAAAGCGAGCTAAGTTTGAGCTCGATTACTAACTCATTTAGCTAACGAACTCGGTTCATTAAGTGATTTAGCTCAAATTTGACTTTTGCTCGTTTACAACCCTTTGTGCTTGAGCTATAGGAATTGTTGCAAAATAAATTATGGGCTAGCTTTGGCTTTGCACCACTTTTGCCTTAACCCATGTTACTTTTTCTATTTGTCTTATATTATAGTTGTTGTGGATTGTTTATTTGTTGATGTTGTGTTTAGATTGGTCGGGTCTCAGTAGAGTTTCTTGTCTTCTATCAAGGGAGTGTTTGTTACTTGTGGAGCTAATGTTGATCACCTCTCTATTTATTGATGTGCAAAATGCTATATTTTTTTTTAACAAAATGAATTATGAAGGTGCTAATAATATGATTTCAATAAGACTGGTCTTAGACAGACCTAATCGTTAACCAAACATATTTTAAATTGAAATATCATACTTTAAAAAAATATAAAATAAAAGTGTGACTTCAAAATATAAGTATCCATTTATGTTAAAAATATTTGATGGGTCAATCCACATAATGATATTTAAGCCTGTCTTACACTAGAATTTCTGATATAAATATATACATGGACGGGTTATTTTTTAAAACTAACTTGAAAATAGTCCTGCTTAGAAAATAACAAAGAAATAGAATTCTAGTAAAGTTGAATGATAAATATTTTTAAGTTAAGAGATGCCCAATTGCTAAAGTAATCTTTTGCATGTCACCTTTATATTGTGGACTAACTAACTTTTGTTTTTATTTTATACATTGATCGTGGTGGGTCACTTTAATAATAAAGTTTCCTTTGACCATTCATGCAACAAAATTTGTCCTAAATAATATTTGCACTTACTGTAAGATGCTTGTCTTCATCGTTCTTGAAGAAAAAAAGGTCCAATTTAGACGCTGAAATTCGTTTTATATATATATGGCCGTAAAATAAAAATCTGTCCCTCATAAGCTGAATTCGTTTTATTCTAGCCAACTGCAGCTAAAAAAATATGAGATTTTATATAATTTTCTATAGCTCAATTCGTCAATATTGATAAATAAGTCTTACACCCGTATATTTATACATGGGCATATGTGTAGGTGATTAATAAGCTGATAATATGAACCTCTCTAAGTATTGCATGGCATACAAAAACAACATATGAGAGACTAATGATATCATATTGTCTATGATAATTAGTATAGTAAACCGTAGACTTGACGAGCGAAATTCAAACTCTTGAAATACTTGAGTTCAAACTTGGGTTTTAGGTGAATCGAGCATGAGTCGTTAAGTTAATGCGTCAATAAATGAGTTTGAACTCAATTCATTGACAAACTTTAACGAGTTGAGATCAAGTTTGACAAACTGAATTATAATAAACGTTTGAAAAATTATGCTAAACCCTCAATTTTTCAAGCCTGACGAGTTTTAACAAGTCTAATCTATATAATAATTCGAGTGTTAACGAATCGAGTAGAACTACACGCACTCCTTTAAATATGAAATTCGAAACAGTTTGAAACAAACCAATCACTTCTTGAGCTGGAAAAAGATGACAATAGTAATAATAAATTTTGAAATAGAAAATAAAAATATGAAAAGTGGCACAACACAAACCGTTGGTGATATTCATATTCCCATAAATTCTACAGTTTTTCATTCATTATTTTTATTTCACCATTTCCTTTTTACTGTATCCAATGAATCTGCTATTTATGGTAACTGCAAATTGCAGTGGACAGGTGCTGTACCTGTACAAAGCCATATAACCTCTGTCCTCTCTCATTATCACTCTCTCTATATACAAATATACTCACACATTTCAATTTTCATCTCTCTCTCTCTATCTCTCTCCCCTCCATTTTTTGGTTTCTATTTTCTCCTCCTCTCTTGCTTTTATTTTCAAAAAATCCATCATGTGTCCTTTCGTTGGGCATCAGTTGCAGAGCCCCACTCATAAAAAAAGCCCGTGTCACAGTCGCCGCCATTAGCTTAAAAGGCGTCACCTTTTTCAGTTTCTTTTTTTGGCTGTAAATATCCGTTTCCTTTTTTTCTCTTGACTGCTAAAACATATAACCCTTTATTACCAGTTTACCACCATTACATTCAAGCAACTTGAATACAGCAAGAAACCCAAAA